AGGTTGCCTGTGCACTTTTCTTGTAAACTGTGTTCACAATCAGTGGTAAGCCTCATGCATGTTTCTTGCAGAGGCTGCCGCAAATAGCTCATGTACAATCAAAAACCCCCACAATCACATCACTACTGCTGGCTTGAGGTAGTTTTGTTTTTGTTCTTTCCTTTTCATACCACGTAATTTTCAAGAGCCTGCAGCAGAGCCATCTTGTTTGTCCCACAGTCTAACACACATAGACACACCGCTGTGCTTTCATTGATTTACATTCATTTCCTGCAGACTTATCCTAACCTTAACCATAACCACTACTTGCCTAACACCTAACCCTGACCCTAACCTCATCCTAACCCTAAACCATGTTACCACCCTAAAATTCAGTGATTTCCTTGTTGGGACTAGCTTATACAGGGTGCGTAGGAAAAGCTGCCTCCATCCTCAAGGACCCCACCCACCCCCGGTACGGACTGTTTGCCTGCCTACCCTCTGGCCGGAGGTTCAGAAGTGTGAATTGTAGGACCTCCAGACTGAAAAACTCTTTCTTTCCCTCTGTCATCAGACTCATAAACAACTGATGAGTGTATTGCCAGGAAATACGTCATGTACTGACAACCTGTACTGTTTACATTCTCAGTTTGCACATGCTGTTGCACATGCTGCTCCCATGCAGCATACATTCTCTTATTATATTCTTAAATATTTTTATTATACCTCTGCATTTGCTGCTTAAAGTGCCTTAGATTTTGTGTTACTTATTTATCTACTTTATATTTCATTTGTATTTTGTGGCATTCATGTGGACGGCAAAGTAAGAATCTCATTGTACAGGGAAACACGTTTCCTAACTGTGCATCGGTCATCGGTCTCTTTCAAGATGTTGACAAGTCAGCCTACAGACAGGAGGCTGAATAGCTAGCCCTGTGGTCCTAACAACCTGGAGCTGAACACACGGAAGACAGTGGAGATGATAGTGGATTTTAGGAGGAACTCCCGCATCCTATCTCCACTCACCATACTCAGCAGCACTGTTTCAGTCGTGGAGTCATACAAGTTCCTGGGCTCTACAATCTCTCAGGACTTGAAGTGGACAATCAACATCAGCGCCATTATTAAAAAGGCACAGCAGAGGATGTACTTCCTGCATCAGCTCAAGAAGCTCAACCTGCCTCGGGAGCTGCTGCTTCAGTTCTATAGGGGAATTATCAAGTCTGTTCTCTGCACTTCCATCTCTGGTTGCCAAGCCAAACCACACAAACAGGACAGGAACAGACTCCAGCAGACAGTCAGAACTGCAGAGAAGATCATCGGTGCCAGTCTGCCCTCCATGGAGGACTTGTACACCTTACGAGTCAAAAGGAGGGCAGAGAGGATTTATGCAGACCCCTCTCACCCTGGATACAAACTCTGAACTCCTCCCCTCTGGACAGCGCTACAGTTTCACTGTGCGCCAAGACATCCAGACACAGAGACAGATTTTTTTCCCCCAGGCTATTACACTGATGAATAGCTAGTCTACGTTGCTCTTTTAACTTGTGCTTTTTTAGCTTGTATATATTGTGTATTTTTGTTTTTATATTGTGCACATTGGGGGCCATTGAGCTGGAGTCAAATTCCTTGTGTTCTTGAAATACTTGGCAATAAAGTTTGTGCTTACCTTTTAAATCTGGAGTAGGGAACAGCAAACAAACACCTCTCCGATGATCTTAGAGACCTACTAGTGATGTAAGGCTATCACAGACCTCTGTTATAGGTAGGTGCCTGACCATGCAGGGCTCTAAATGTGACTACAAGGATCTTGAAATTAATTCTGAATTTGATAGCCAATGTAGAGAGATCAAAATAGGTGTAACATGTTCTCACTTAGATGACTTGGTCAAAAGCAGGGGTGCCCACACTTTTTTGCCTTGCGAGCTACTTTTCAAATGACCAAGTCAAAATGATCTACCTACAGTTAGAATGCTAAATGCATATTTATTTATTTATGGAGTATACCTTATGTAAACAATATACGTTGGCACACCTTGCATAATGAACCTTAAGGCACACTGCAGTTCAGTACTTTTTTGGTCATTAGTTTACTCTAAACTTGCATTGAATGGAATCAGCCAGGACTGCGTAGTCCGGACAGTAGCTGCTGGTAGCCAGCCTCCAGCAGACTTCCAAATGGTCATCAGTCATGGTGGAGCGGTATTTGGACTTAATAACCTCCGTGTGAGAAAATGCTGACTCACATAATAAATAAGTAGAGCCAAATAATGCAGTCAATGGCACATTTCCTCATGTTTGGGTACTTTTCCTCTGTAAGTTCCAAAACGGGCCATTAGCCCTGGACTTCAGCTGAATGTCAGTCTGTAGTGTCAATATTTCATCCTCCACTCCAGACCAGTTCAGTTGAAACAGCATTGCAATTTTTGATGCGAGTGAATCAGCCTCAATTTCTTCCCTAAATGGGTAACGCATAAATGTAGCGACTGGCTTGAGTGAGGCAAAGTCTTGAAAGCGTTTGTCAAACTCTGACCGACAATTGTCAGTCTGCTTTGTGTAGCACGCAATATCAAGTTGCGCACATGCTTTCCGTTGCGTCTCCAGCTCTGATGCAAGGTTTTGGAAGTTCTGCAAAATGTTGCATTTTTCGTTTGAAAGCATTAACTAAGCTCATTATATTGACACGAGATCTACTGACACTACCTTTGCGCTCAACTGGTCGATCACGATCGATGTATTGGGCAGCCCTGGTCAAAAGCCTGGCTGCACCATTCTGGACCACTTTTAAATGATCCAAAGAGTTTTACTGGGGCAAGTGAATAAGGCATTACAGTGGTCCAATCAGGATGAAACAAAACCATGAAGGACCATTTCCATCTCAATTTGAGACACCATGGGTCTGAGTTTAGCAATATTAT